ATGAGGAAGATGATGACTTGAAAGTCCACATGATTCATCTGCTGGTTTCCCATCCTCCCAGTGTGGTTGTAGTGAAGGAGTATTATGTTCATCTTCAGAATACCAGTTGCTGATTGTAGAGGTCAGAGTTCAGCCGTATCCCAAAAGTCCACCAACACCTGCAACAGAGGAAAATATTACTGCATGAATTTATAAGTAGGTAGTCATATTCAGTAAATTACAGTGGGCACTCTAACTAAGTTAGTTTGTCAGAGCAAGCATATCTTTTGAAAACAATAACCCCACAGTGAAGCTAATTAGCTTCATAACCTCTTTTACTATGAATACAACCAAATAAAAGTTTGAACGTTAAAAATGTCAGTCTCATACTGAGTTTGCTGTTAGAAGTGCTTTGATTGTAATCACGTGAAGCGGATGACTGCAATGGGCCGACTGCATTGAGTCTGACTGATCAACTCGGTAAATAATCTTACCTCTGAGCTAGGTCGTAGAGTAAAATAAATTTAAGCCAACTAAAGCCTTCTACAACTGACATATCAGAATAGACATGCAACCAATTTTCTAATTTTGCATATTTACAAATTAAATATGATTTAATTTTATTTCCATTCAAATTCAAAAATACCTTATCAATCCCAAACGTAATTTAAATGTTGTAGCTCATTAATTCAGATTCTTCAAAGAGTTATTGAAGATGGAGCCTGTATGCTGACTATTCAGCTTACCGTTGTTCCGTCCCTCTGTATCAAGAGTTGATGTCTTCCTCTGTATCGTGCTGGTGAGAATCTGACGAAAATAAAAGCCAGAAGTTCAAACTTCTTCTAAATGCTTGTGAGCCAGTCAACCTGAAACAAGACTGATCATTGTGTTGCAATTTCCCCTTAAATTCTGAAAGGTAATCTTTTCCGGATAAAGTAAGCCATCACTAACATTACACTGCTCACTCACAAACACTCACTTCAAGCAGACGATGAAACAATAAAACACCTGAAACTCAAGCGTTTAGGTATTAAAATTGACCAGTGAAAAAGATTCAGATTCTACTTTCAATCTTCAGGTCACATGCAGCGCAGTGTCGTCAAAAGTTACTAAAAAGTTGTCCTCCTTTTAAAGAGGAACAATGCTAAATAAATGCATTTCTATTTACCACTCCTCAACTAAATTATGCAATAAATGTGTATTCTCCTTAAATTACAGTACATTAGGAAAATATAGGAATTAAACATATTTGGATGACTGGTGGATTTTTTTATTTTTATTAACTAATGAGGAGACGGTAGTATTTGTGGCAAAATTAAATATTTCCCTATTTATTTAGGTTTGCATAAAAGTATTGAAATGCAAATGGAAGATAAAATTAGCCAGGACAGCAGTACCTTTGCAATTAATCATGACTTTATGTGGCTTTATTAAATAAAAACATTTTTTTTTAAAAAAAACACTAAATTGTTTGTGATGGTAATGTGATCAATTTGAAAAAAATAAATAAATAAAAAAAGTTTCAGGGGCATGAATGCTTTTCATCGGAACTTTACACCATTAGACATATGGCAATTTGCAACAATTTTAGAGGTAATTCTACACATTTTCTTCTGCTTTTCCTGGTTAAAATCTTGTTTTCTGCAAATTACATGCAACAGACAACATAAGCAGAACAAATTGCAAAACATTGTAATCAGCTGTGCTTCACTATATAAGTCTGAACATAGTTTCACCATGCGATCTGGTAATTGAAGATGGGATAAAAGGTACTTACAGAAATGTGTTTTTCATGTCCTTTGTGCTTCATGAAGAAATCTTTGTAATTGTTTGTTCACACACTCATAAAGGAAGTGATTTATAAATATTTCACACTAAAGTCACCCACATCCTCCCTCCCTCTATCTCGAGAGTTGTTGCCGTCCTCTGTATTATGATGGCTGGAGTCTCATGAAAACAAAAGCCAGTTGTTCAAACAGAGTCAAGTCTCCATCTACTTTGTGTCCATAAACTGTTAGGTTATTTCAAATCAGGCATGACGACTTCATGTAAAATTGTATTTGACAGAACATTTTATGAAAAAACATTGTGGAGGAAGTGCAGGTTTACAGATACAGGAAATGCAAGTTCAGAGAGGAATAGAGAAGTTTTCTAAACTCATTTTCCATCTGTCATTATGTTTGTCCATTTTTGGAGACAATGTTACGTGGACCTAATTCTCATTTGCACGAAAATACTTTAAACCACTACAGCCTGTAGTCCCACACATGCAACAAACCAACTTCCTCTATTTGCTGGCGGGCCAGTCATTTTTGAGATGTAGTGCAGTCAACCTGTTGTAATTTCCTCTTAAATTCTTGAGAAGTCATCTTTACCAGAAAAAACCGGGGGTTTTCTGCATGGAGTTTGGATCTTCTCTCCATCCATCTGTGGGTCCACTTCTGCTTACCCTGGTTTCCACTCAAAATCATTCAGCAAAAATGTCTAAAGATAGAATCTTTTTTTTTTTTTTTTTTTTTTTACAAATATGTTTTAAAAACCCTAACGACAAAAGATATAAAATTTTTGTAAATATGAGAACACATCTTTAATCCAAACATAAGAGTAATCTCACCGTAACATGATGTCTTGCATACTTGAGGTTGTATTAATTGTGGTTGACTCGCTTGGTGTGGTTTTTTGCAAATCATGCATCTGAATAGATGCATTAATGCATTGTATTCCTTTCATGGTTTTCTCATGAAAGGAATACAATGACCACAACTCTGTCAGTGCTTCTTTAAAATAGAACTCAGTGTTTTAGTGAAATGTGGCTATAAAATCTATAATACACAAACTTCAGCATGAACTCTCATTTTTGCAGAAGAAATATATAAAGGGGTTAGCCTTGATGCATTACAAACAATTTCAAGTATTCGGGTGTCTACTGTTTGTGAACAAAAATTTCAACTTTGAATGCAAATTAGTGTTATTTTTATCCTGTTGTACATAGAAATGACAAAAAAATAGCATAATTTAAAATATGTAAGAGCTTCAGTTTAGTCAAAGTAAGTGGAACTTTGCACACAAGGTGGCAAAAAGAATGTTTTTTATTTACTTTTTTTATTTTGCTTTAATTTGGATTTGCAGAATATATAAATATTTTCAATAATGTTTTCACATTTTAAATATATTGGTTTGTATGGTTCTATCATCATTATTCTAAAGGGCTTTGGCAGTAAAACAGTGAATGTGTATACGTTTTTTGTTAATGTCAGTGCCGCCTGCTCTGATTGCAACTTTCTCATCCCTGTTCAATTTCAAACTTAGCACGTGTCTTGTTCTCACAAAAGTCCTATAAAAATCAACATAAAAACAATCGGCACAGGTGAATCACACAATGTAATAAATATTTTTTTAATCTGAGTAAACAATACAGTAAATACAAATAAACATGCTGTAAGAAAACCAAGGAGCTAAATCTTCACAATTATCCTTTTTCAGCCCAATAGCAAAAAAGTCATGTCTGTACACTAATGTCTTGTTTAAGTCTGTCCTTTTTTTCGATTATTTCTTCAAGGCGACAGTAAATTTGAAAACAATGTACAAAATTCAGGTCTTAAAATAATATTTTATAATTAATACCTAGTCACGATATTATTATTTCAATGATTATTGAGAATAGGGACAAAACAGGTCCTACGGATAAAGCGCAAAATTTGAATAAATTATACACAAAATATAT